AATACTGACATCACTTTCTTTTCCTTTTCTTGCAACGTTAATATATCATTGTGGGAGATAGCTCTTATCCACAAATAATGTGACCTTCATTTATCAGCTAGGACAGATTAGCTTCTGGATTTGGTTTTTCTGATCATGTATCTGATGAGTAGTTCATAAACTACTTTTGTTGATAGCATAATAACATCAGAGTTGTTTGACTTCAGCGCCTTGATCATCAGAGTTGATAGCAACAACTTATCTGATTAACATGACTTTGTCTGGGTGAAGCTACATAATATTTATCTTCAAAATCTAGTCTTCAGAGTCTTTCTGCACTTGGTCTTCAGAGCCTTCAGCCTTCAGAGCTTCATGTCATCAGAGTCTTCAGCACATAGATCTTCAGAGGATTATATCTTCAGAGTCTTGATCTTCAGAACCCTTAAGTCTTCAGAGTCTTTCTGCACTTGGTCTTCAGAGCCTTCAGCCTTCAGATCTTCAAGTCATCAGAGTCTTCAGAGCTTGGTTCTTCAGAGGACTATATCTCAGATGCATTGTTAGCTTCCAGATCAGATACGCTTCTCAGAGCAGAATCCACAAGAGCATTGCACCTGCAATATACAACATCTTTGAATCTTTCTGATTGTGATCAGATACAGAGCCATACTTGCTTCTTCAATACGCTTTATTTGCTTTCAGATCAGATGCACTTCTCAGAACAGAATCCACAGGAGTATTGCAACTGCAATATCCAGCATCCTTGGATCTTTCTGATTGTGAACAGATACAGAGGCAAACTTGCTTCTTTAATAAGCACTTTATGTCACGTCACACAAAGTAACTCCATATTGAATTTAATGCACTTCTTGATATTGTTTGTTGATTTGATATCTTTATTTAACAATCTGCACACAACAAACATTAGAACATAAAATGATTCTTTCACAAATACTTAATTGTTATCATCAAAACATAGAGATAACATGTAGAGACAATTCTTGCTCTTACACATACCACCTTTTCTTTATTTGAAAATTTTCCTTTAAGCTCTGGAATGGGGTCTATAATATTCTTAACTTGCATATTCAGACTTCCTTAACTACCATTTAGGAGGCATGTTCCAAAGCTCGCTCCCCTCACGGCACTTTAACTATTCAAGCTGTTTGAAATTTTTTGTTAATGCATTTTAGAATGCTCGAAACTCTATCAGGTTCAATAGCCAATCCTATCATTTTTCCTCTGTGTGAGTTCTCATTATGGCTCAGTTGCAACTGTCCAGTTCTAAGTCTAGCCTCACTTTCGAGAAAATCTAGTTTGATTTTGTAGTTCAAAAAGCTTTTCAAGTTCCCATTCATTCTCCACGGGCTCCCATTATCAAAGAGATCATTTGGAACCCTCCTCCTAATTATTGGATCAAATGAAATGTAGATGGTGCATATTAATCTAATCTGGGTTCTGCTTGGATGTGGTGGAATATTGAGGATAAAGGTTTTTCAACATCAAACTTTGATATGGCTCCTTAACAATTAACAAACAAATGGTTTGCTTGCATCCGAATTCTTATGGACATGTCATTCATCATTTCACACATATTTAAAGAAGGAAATAATTGTGCGGATTTTTTTATTGCTAATTTAAGTCATGCATCTATGATCTTCACTCATTTTGATTTATTACCTACTGATATTAGGAGTGACTATGTAAAAAAATAGGTTATAATTGTTTTTTTTTAAGTTTAGATAATTTTGAGTGTACATTAACCTCCCCACATTTTTATGTATCAATCTTCATTTATATATAATTACCCTTTATTAATTTTTTTTAATTAATATATTTCACTAGAGGAAATCTTACTCTAAAATATTTAGAGTGTCTATCGTCGTTAAATTGTAGGAGGGACCAAAAGTGTGGATGAAAAAGTTTACGAGGACCATTTTTTGAAAGAAATATTTTGAGGGACTAAGAATAAGTTTTAAGATATTTAAAAAGACCACAAATATATATATATATATATATATATATATATATATATATATATATATATATATATATATATATATATATATATATATATATATATATATATATATATATATATATATATATATATATATATATATATATATATATATATATATATATATATATATATATATATATATATATATATATATATATATATATATATATATATATATATATATATATATATATAAAATTGTGCCATTAACTAATTGTACTATTGCATTAACCAAAAATCTGTACGCTATTAACCATTTATCTTACTTATAATTTATTAATCAACTTTAATATTTTATTAACCAATAAAATACATAATATTAACTAAGTTCTGAGATTACATTATAAAATATAATGAACGTGAACAATGACATGCACATGAACAATGATCGTGAATAATGTCCATTAACAATGACTTTTAATAGTAAAATAAAGTTGAATAATGAAATTTAAAAAATTGGTTAATGATGTGATGATGTTGCTTAATAAATATCACACAATATTAAAAATAATTTTTAGTAGTAAAACAAAAATGATTAATGAAAAGTAAAAAGTTGATTAATTAAATGATGAAGTTGGTTAATAAACGTTCTGATATTAAAAAAAGTAAAATAAAGTTGGTTAATAAAAAATAAAAATTTTGTTAATGAAGTTATAAAATAGGTTAATAAACACCTAAATATTAAAAATAATTTTTAGTACTAAAATAAAATTAGTTGATAAAATATAAAATATTAGTTAATGATAGTTATAAAGTTAATTAATTACACAATTTTGTATAAATACTCTTTAATCTAAAATAAAATAAAATAATTTTTTTTAATAATTATTTATTATTAAAGTGTACAAATTTGATATAAGAATAACATTTTTCTAAATGTTATCATTGTACCCTTTTACTTTTATAAAAAAATATATTTCTTATCAATGTGTTAAGTGAAAGTAACATATGTTTTAAGATGGTAAGAAGGCTAGTTAGAGCATCCTCATTTGAGAGAGGATAATACTTCACAAAAATATTCTTATCATTGTCATATATTTATATATTTATATTTGTTATAAATAAAAAATAAAAATATTGAATTGAAACTAATATGATAATATTATTTAGAGTGAAATTAAAAAAAAATTAATTAATATTGTATTAAAAATTAAGTAAATTAAATGTTTTTAAAACATTAAAAAAAATGTTAATATATAATTTTTCTTACGAAAAGAGTATTACTTATTATCAATTGCAATAAGTTATTAGTCAAATTTGTAACATAAATACAATACCAAAAGGTTACTTTATAATTTTTATAAGACTATTTTATTTATACTTTTTCTATCTCTAACTAATTATCATTTTAAAAGATTAAATTATATAATTATTATATTTTTTATTACTCTATCTTTATGACTTTAACTTTACTTAACTTTTTTCCTAAATACAATTAATATTGATAATTTACTAAATAATAGTATTATTTTATAATTAAAATCAACACAACTAAATATGTTTTTAAAATAACATACAAACAAAATATGACACTTTTTCTGAGACCATAAATACTTATATCTTTTACAACAATTGTAGTATATAAGTCAAATAATAATAATAATAATAATAATAATAATAATAATAATAATAAATTTTTTTAATTACTTTTATATAATAATAATAATAATAATAATAATAATAATAATAATAATAATAATAACAATAATAATAATAATAATAATAATAAAAAGACATGCAAAAATAAATTACCGCACAAAATTAAAAATTTTCTAAAATGAAATCTTAATTAAATATGACTTTATAAAATTTGTGTCACATTTAAATTGTAATTAATATATCTTTATTTATTTTATAATAATTAAATTGCAACTAATTTATTTATAATCGCCAAAAATTTGAGACTGTTATTTTAATATTATGCATTGAAATTTGAAAGTAATATTTTGCAGATAAATTTTTTTTATAAATATGTAAATTATTTTAAAAAGAGCTCGTAGTAGAAAAGTAAAACAATTATTTTTATCAATATTATTATTGGCATGATGATAAATTAATATAATTATATTCTCTCTCCAATGGTAATGCCAAATTACATGAATATAAGAATCTTTATGTTTTTAACTACAATTAGTAATACAAGTTTTTTTATTAAACTAAAATAATTAATCATTTTAAAATATTACCCACAAACTTATTATGATATTTTTTTTATGATATGATCAAATACTTTTATCATCATGTTCTAGACATTTAAAAAATGATGTTGAATAAAAAGTGTTTTTATTAAATTATTTTCATAACACTATTAATGTATTTTTATTATATTATTAATTATAAAGTAAAATCCTAATTTAAAAGTGATATATAGTTTTAATTATAAACAATACAATTGAAAAAAATTATTTTTAATTGTAAAAATATGATAATAATTACTATTAAATTCAAAGTTTGAAATCTAAATAAAATATTCATTTTTAAAAATTTTAACATTTGTCAAAAATATTAGGAATTAAAAAATACATAATTTAATACTACATTGAAAATAACAATTTTTAAGATAACTTTTTATTTATAACAATTTAATAGTAAAAAGAAAGTAATGAAAAAGTAAAAGAATTGTTTTTATTTCTATCAGTATTATTATTGTCATGGTAATAAATTAATGTCATTATTATCTTAGACAAAAAAATAATAAAATAAAAAGGTAAATAAATAATTTTTTGAGATTACCTGGCAGATCGCACCCAAAAATAAATTAAAAATTTCACCAGACAGACACACGTTCTATTTCTAATTTTCTATAATAAAAATAAAAAATAAATAAAATCCATTAAAAATAATTCACCACCCTTTTTTCCTGATATATTTTTCCCCTATTCTCTGTAAATTACTTAGCTTCTGTGCTGTTTTTGCTAGAGAGAGACAGAAAGAGAGAGAAAGAGAGAGAGAAAGAAACAGAGGGAGAGAGAAAAAGAGAGAGAGTCCTCACTCCTATGCTATGCTAGGGGACTCAGCAGTGTTAGGAACAGGAGGAGGAGGAGGAAGCTCAGGAGATGGAGCAGGAGCATCAGCCTCAGCCTCAGCCGGAGCTTATCATGACGGCGGCGACACGGTGGCTGGTGGCGGTGGATCAATTTCAGGAGATGATGAAAGAGGAGGTGGTAGTAGAAATGAAGAGGGTGGTGATAGAAATTTTGGTGGTAATAGATGGCCAAGACAAGAAACTATTGCTTTGTTGAAGATAAGGTCTGAAATGGATGTAACTTTCAGAGATGCAAGCGTTAAAGGTCCCTTATGGGATGAAGTTTCAAGGTTAGTTAACAATTTTTTTACTTCAATTAAATTCAATGTAATATTTCATTCACTTTAATTCAATTCTATTTTAATTCAAATAAACTACCATCCTCTTGCTTCCTAGCACAATCTACTGAGATTTGAGATTTCGACTCTATCCGATTTGTAATTTTTTCTGTTTCATTTGGACTAGTTTTCTTAAACAGTTAAATTTATAATTTTTTTTAATATTGAATAATTGAATTGAAGTTCCCTCTAGTATTTTTTTAATTTAAAGATAAAAACTGTTTGAGAAAAATTAATAATTTTTTAGAGATGTGTGCAAGCATCTCTCTATCTATGATATGATGACTTTGATGTGATTTGCTTTTCTGACATTCATTTTGATACATGTTGTATTTTTTCCAAATAAAGTTACAAACTTGAATTGAGTCACCAAAAAGCAAGATTTTCTTCCTCCCTTATTTCAGTTACCCATTTTTTGATAGGTAGATTACAAAATCTTCTTTCACACTTAGCTTCATGCGTTTTCCATGTCAAACTAACATTTTTATTTTTTTCAACAATTTACGCTATTTAATTTCTTATTAAACTATTATTATTAAAAATAAAATCTTCACTCCAATTACATCAACTTTGATAGATAATGTTTTTATATTTATATTCACATCTTCATCTACTTCCTCCATTTCAATTCTTTGATACTTTAATAATTTCATCTCTTATTTTTTTTTCATTATTTTTTATAATTTTTTACTGAATTCATTTATTATCTTAGCTCAAATTAATTGCTTCTTATCCTATAGATTTAATGAGATGAGATAATGCCAGAAATTTTTTTTTCTCTTTTTTATTCGTTTTGAAATTTAATTTTGTCTTTATTTTATTTTTGTATTTTTGTTATTAGGAAAATGGCCGATCTTGGGTATCACAGAAACTCCAAAAAATGCAAAGAAAAATTTGAGAATGTTTACAAGTATCACAAAAGAACCAAAGAAGGAAGAGGTGGAAAATCAGAAGGTAAAACTTATAGATTTTTTGATCAATTACAAGCCCTTGAAAATAACCCTTCAATTCAATCACCAAGAACACAAACACAGTTGAATATTTCAACATTACCTCCAACAACACCTTCATCATCATCATTACCAATTTCAACTACATCAACTACACCTACAACCACAAATCCATTGCTATTGCCACCGTCATTGTTAAACTCTACACCTCCTATTACTATTCACACCCCTTCCATCACCACCGCCGCGACCACCGCCACTGTTCCATTGACAACTACAATTACACCACCAATTCCAATGTCTTTACCTCAAGTTCAAAACATTGCGTCACAATCCAACCCTACATATTTTCCACCAATATCATCCACAACAATAACAAATCCTACAAATACTAATAACCCTCTTCCTCAAATTACCATTACACCCCCACCATCTTCATTCCCGAACACTTCAACTGATTTCTTCTCGAATTCGAGTTCATCTTCAACTTCTTCGGAGGAAACAACGACAATGGAAGGTGAGGGAAACCGGCGGAAACGGAAGAGGAAATGGAAGGATTTCTTTGAGAGACTAATGAAGGAAGTTGTGGAGAAACAAGAGGAGCTGCATAAGAGATTCTTGGAAGCTATTGAGAAAAGAGAATTGGAGAGAGGTGCTAGAGAAGAAGCATGGAGGTTGCAAGAGATGCAAAGGATTAATCGAGAAAGGGAAATTCTTGCTCAAGAGAGATCTATTGCTGCAGCTAAAGATGCTGCTGTTATGGCTTTTTTACAAAAGATTGCTGATCAACAACAAGATCAACAAAATGTTGTTGTTCCTGTTGCATTGAACACCAGCATTGTTCCTCAACAACAACAAGCACCACAAGAACCGACACCTACACCGACACCGACACCGACACCAACGCCGTTACCAGCACCTGCAGCAGTGCCAGCGCCAACACCAGCGCCAACAGCAGCTCCAGCACCAATCCAGACACCAAAACCAATGCCGATGCAGATACAAATACAACCACAGCAACAAGTTCAAACTCAGACTTCGGCAGTGCAAGTGCAACAAACAGCACCGGTTATTTCTCAGGCTTTACCTTTGGCGCAACAACAACAGGTTCAGGTTCAAGTTCAGCAGCAAGCGACGAATATGGACATTGTGAAAAGTGACAACAATGGTGAGAGTTTGATGCAAGCAAGTTCATCAAGGTGGCCGAAGACCGAGGTTGAGGCATTGATAAGGCTGAGAACAACTCTTGATATGAAGTACCAAGAAAATGGACCTAAAGGGCCATTATGGGAGGAGATTTCAGGGTTGATGAAGAATCTGGGGTACAATAGGAATGCAAAGAGGTGCAAAGAGAAATGGGAGAATATCAACAAATACTTCAAGAAAGTGAAGGAAAGCAACAAGAAGAGGCCGGAAGATTCGAAGACATGTCCATATTTTCACCAACTCGATGCTCTATATCGGGAGAAGAACAAGGGTGAGGGCTCCAGCGCGTCAAGGCCCGAGGGAACAATGATGGCGCCATTAATGGTGCGGCCAGAGCAGCAATGGCCTCCACAGCCGCAGCCGCCACAAGTAACTAGGGCAGATGTGACCATGGAGGATGCTGAGAATGACCGGCCGCGCCGTGATGATGAAGAGTATTACGACGATGAGGATGGTGATGACGATGACGAAGACGAAGGAAGTGACAACTATGAAGTGGTTGCAAACAAACCTCCACCACCTCAATAAAAGAGAAGTAAATAATGATTGAAATCAATCATAGCAATGAGGCTCTAGGTGGGGTCCAAATGAGTGCATGGTCTATTGTAAAAAGTGGTGGCATGCAGCGAAAAGCGGTGGCAACAACGGCGGCAATAATGGTGGTTGGTTATTCAAATTTTTGAATTTATACATAGGGGTAGAATGGTGTGAGGAATCTTAAACTGAAGTATTTGGTACAGTGGTACTATAATCAGTAAAATTATATGTTTTTTTTTTCAAAACCGGAAATAATTAATTATTTTTTGAGCTAAATAAATAAGTTAATAAGGGAAATGGGAATTTAAGATAGAAGTTCAGACAAAATAAATAATAGAGGAAGAAACCTTGAATAATGTTATTGTACTTTTCTTTTATTTATTTTTCTTTGTTTTCATGTTTATGGTGGTGTAAATGGGAGAAACCATTGATTGGAGGGATTTATTGTTTTCTTCTTTATATTAAATTTTATTTTTCTAAATTTTTCATTCTTATTTTTGTTGCTCTTCAATTATTTGTGGTAATTTAATTTTCTAATATTTCTGCAAATACTAATTAAGTTGAATTAACAAAACAAATATTATTTTGTTTGAAAATTATATATGATTAAATTTAATTTTAATTAAAATTTATTAATCAATTGAAAAATATTTATGGAGCCGCCACATTTAAAAAAAAAATCAGGCTTAAAAGTTTTTATTTAACTTCAATATAATTGTAATTTTTGAAAAATTTATTTTTATATAAATTTATTTTTAAAAATAAATTGTTTATATTAATACATAAATATATATATATATATATATATATATATATATATATATATATATATATATATATATATATATATATATATATATATATATATGTTATTATTGGAAATTGAATTATAGGCTAATCATTTACATCATTTAAGTTAATTAACTTTATATAAAGGTGTTCATCATAGATTTTAGAAATTGTTTTCTTGAATATTTTTGGAATGGCAAAATATGAGATGAGGAAAATGAAAAGAAAAGAGAATATAAGAACAGTGAGAATTTAAATTGTAGCTAGAAAAGAAGAGAGAAGAAAAAGAAAGTGATACTAAAAATTGGGAAAAAAAGAAAGTAGAAAAAAGGAGGCTTAAAATTGTGGGGACAAAGACCCAACTCTTTGTTTTGGAATAGGACCCTTCCCTTGCAGAAAATGCCAGCATCACACATGGAGTCATAAACTCATTGGTGGGAGGGTCCACCAAAAGGAATCTTGTGAGTTGTAAGAGCCTAAAACAATATCACATTGTAATATTGTTGTTTAGTTTTACAAGATATGTGTTTCTCTTCTTGGGTGTCAGTCCTATATGAAAATGATGAAATATTTTTTATTGTTAACTTAATCTAATTAGTAAATAATTTCTTTTTTTATATTTTGGTTGATTCCATTGAAACTTTCAAAGAATCAATGCAAACTTTGGTTCGTTTGATAAATAGTTGATTTATATTTCATAAAAATATAAATAAAGATGAAGGTACATTAATGGGCTTGGCCCCCTTTTTTACATATTTTTAAGACATATAATATACACCATATAATGCATACATATAATAATAATAATAATAATAATAATAATAATAATAATAATAATAATAATAATAATAATAATAATAATAATAATAATAATAATAATAATAATAATAATAATTGTTCCATTAGGAAAATAAGAGATAATCGAAGATGTTTAATTCGCATTATGTTGTCGTGGTTCAAGATTCTGATGCGATGGAGAAATAATTGGTTTGTAAAACACTTAAGTCAGTTACAAAGTAAGAAATAAAGTTTGAATGGAGAAGAATTTCAATACTTGAGAAATGACGCGATTCTCTTTTTAAATAGAAGAGTTAATTAGCAACTGAATGCGCGTGGGGGGCATGAAACTCGGTCAACCATAAGATCAATCTAGACGTTGGGATAGACTTTGGGAGTAGGTTCACCTGTGTGGTAGGGAAAACAAAATCCACCTTTTATATGTCTTGTCGTTTGACACTTTATTGGTATTAGGCTTCCATACTTTGGGCCTTACGGGGCGGCCTAGTGCAGTTGTTCCCAAATCCGTGTCCTTGTTTTACAGAGCAAGAGTTTGTGAGAGGTGTCTTTGTTCAGCCACAGAGTCATAAAAGTGAAAAGCTTTGATGGGACGTCACCACCCTTAGGAATAAGCACTTTAAATACTACCCTCGCGTGGTACTACATGACGTTGGAAACAAATGACACCTATCCCTATTCTTTTTAGTAATGATGTTCTTCCTCTATTGAGAGTGCTCTAGTGTCTTTAGAACCGTTTTGGGTGAATCTTCACCATTGATAGTGCAAATTGATTGAATAATCTTCGACGTTCCAAAGGAACGTATAAGGTTCTCGTAGTGTCATATTGGCCCCCTTTTGAGTGTTATTGACTTTGCATAGGAAAGTGTTCTTGTTCTTTTCATTTCTCTCTGGAGATCTTCTTGTACGACCGGTTTAGACTCAAGAGATTTTGCTTGTGGACAAAATAGACCTTTTGTAATACAATATTACTATGACCATTTTATAAACCGTAGTAATATCTCATGTCTTACGCGCCTGATTTTATTTTATTATTAAAAGACTTTTCATCACGATTCATAATAAGAATTGTGGTGATATATTAAGAGTTACAAGCTTTGAATCCTAGTACCAACATTTTTTTTCATTTTTCCTATAAAAAAGCGAGTGTCCCTTAACCTATATTGTTAAATAAAAATTAAAAAACAATTAACTATGGTAGTTTTTATCACCCGTGGTTATATGTGCCACATTTTACTACGATTGGTATTTGCAACCGTGATGAAATTTTTTTATGTAAAATTATAACACATGCCCCAGCGAATGACTGCGGTAGAGAAAACTTCATCTTCACAATCTTCATTCATTTCTCGGAAGAAAATTATTTCTTGGTCTCTTCCTCCTCTTCGAAGTATAATACATTATCTTTTTGTGTTCATTATTAATTATTCATTTCTTGGTCTCTCTCTTTCATTTTGTTGTAACTGGATTTGAATACAAGAGCTGGAAATTATCAATGACTTTGTGTTTTGGTTTTATTCATATTTTATAATGTTTTTGTTGTTATAAGGCTATGTGATTGATGTTTAGAAAAACTTGATCCGGAAATTCCATACTTAGAATTTTTTTCAAAGTTAAATTTCAGCTTGTTGGTGATAACGCGAAATCGTATCGTTTAGTTGACTTGATTTACATGGATTTTACCTTCGATTATTATTAGTTTGTCTGATTTTTATCATAATATTTAATCATTTCGTTTGTTTTCGTAGAAATAAGGAAATAATTGGAAAAGAAAGAAAAGGAAGAAAATGGAAAGAAAAGAAGAAGAAAATGGGAAGAAAAGACCAAGGAAAGAAAAGAAAAAGAAAGAGAAAGGAAAGAAAAAAGTGCGGGGGCCACCACACACCAAGTGGCACTTGCCACTTGGGTGTGGTGCCTGCCACAGAAACAAGGTGAAAGGGTGGCGGCTTCCACATGTGTGGAAAGTGGCGAGTGCCACTTCTATGTATTAGGAAGTGCAACTGCCACTCCTCCAAAAACGGGAAGTGGCGCCTGCCACTTCCTCCCCAGAATTTCTCCACTCTCTCCCTATTTTCTCTCAACGTCCTTACTACATTTTCTCCGGACTTTTCTCCTCATTTGAAGCTTCAAAGTCATGGAATCGTCGCCCACTAACGGTATAAAAAGAAAGGGGGGGGGTGATATTTTTCTGTTTTCATTTTAGTTTTTTCCAACTTTCTGTTTAGTTTCTTTACATAGTTTCTAGAGGATTTTTGTCAGGCAATTATTTTTCACATTGATAAACAATTGCCATTTAGTTTTAGGATTGATTCAAAAAAGGTTGTAATATTGTACCGACGCTACAAGCCGGCCTTCATAATCAAATCCAAGTTCCGTTCTTCATATTTCCAGGTTTTTCTGCTTTTATTTTTATTGTTATATTTTTATCCATTCTTTCTACTTTTTGCTTAGTATTAGGATTGAATTTAGTAAAACCATGAAAGCCATGTCTGGCTAAAACCCTTAGTATCGGTATGTAATTATGATCGATCGGAGGGGGTTAAGTAAACTGTGACGTAGAATTTAATGAAATAAATGTTTCTGGTCTCTGTTTCTTTTGCCAAAATTAATAACTTTTGTCACGAGAGTGAGAAAGTAACGAAGGTTAAGATCAATAAAGCGAGAGTTTGAGGTCTTAACCGGATAGCTGAAACTAAACATTAGGCTTAAATACAGTGAGAGCGCTTTAAGGTTAATTAAGACTTATCTGTTTTCAAAAAGTGTTTTTAAATGCAAAGTGAGAGAGCGAGAGCCTCATTCTGATTTGAGAGCATAGTCTAAGTCAAGAGAACGAGAGTGTGAGATAAGGGCTTTTAAATTGGTATTTCCTACAGACTAATATTTTTCATCTATTAACAAACGTCCCTGAATTATTGAATCTCCGATGACCGATGAAATTACATACCGATATTCCATCATATCTTAATTTAGATCTAGTTTTAATTTCCATTTAAATTCTTGCACCCCAATTTAGAATTCCATTAGCCTTATCTTTACATTGCAACAGTAGATAACAGTAGGTTGACATTGGTCTCTGTGGGTTCGACAATCTTTTATATTACTTCGATATTTTTGTGCACTTGTAGAGCATCAAGTATTTAGCGCTGTTGTCGGGGACCAACAGTCAATATTGTGATTCCGTTGTTGCATAGTATATGTTAGACTAAGGCACGGATCTAGAAGGGGGGGTTGAATAGATCCCTTTTAAAAATTTGAGTGGCGCTACCAATAAAATTGGTTTTCAAAATTGTTTTCAAATGCGGAAGCGGCCTTGGAAAATATAGTCTAAAACGAACAACTATTGGAGAGCCGGATATGCGTCAAGCAGATGAATTTAAGACGATAACGGATAGTAAATCACTACACAC